TGAAAGTTGGATATCTAGCAGCAGCCTTGAATGGCTCATGATCAAGATAGAACTGAGATATTGAAATTTTGTTTTTGTCAATTGGAAAATTTTGATTTCCATGTCCTGAAAATTTTAGGTAATTTGCATTTTCAGTCTCAACATTTTAGAATCTAAGATGTGAGCCGCCAACAGCTGGTCCTGGAGTACAAGCCTCCTGGAAAGAGAGAGTGGGATAAATCCAAATTTCTGTATAATTGCGGTGGACAAGAAAGTGAGTGCATTTGAATTTTCCATGATGGTTCGTTTTGGCCATGGTTACTGTAATTTTTTTGGATTTTTAAATGGAGGAATTATATGCTTAAATTTCAAAATTTGCGTGCTACTCTCTTTTAATAATTGAATTCTAATGGTGTATTTGTTTTAAAAACATATATTTTATAGATAACACTACCGTATAATGTTACAAGTGAATTTTTAAATTAAAAAAATTAATTATATAATAATACATTATATTCATATTGTAAAATTATAATATAACTTGATATTACAATTATAATATTTTTAATGTAATAAAAATACAATTTAAATACTAAAATTATTAAAATCTTTTTAATAAAACATTTTTATTCAATAATTTAATAATTTTAATAAAATATATATATATTAGTACGAACTCTTAATAAAAATTAGAGTCCTACATTCCGACGGCAAAGTGTCATTTAAAATTAATCCCCAACCTCTACTATTGTCACCCTTTTTGCCGCTGCAATTCTCCATCTCCACACTTCCTGTGATTCATAATCTCCACGCCTCCCCCCTACAATTCAATCAATATGTTCGAGATAGACAATCCACAGGCAAGCCCATAAAAGATCAACAATGGAGACAAGTCCCATCTTTCTATCTATCTCCCGTATCTCTTCTGTTTTCTATCTCTAATTCTTAGTATACAAGAGCTATAAAAGACCAACAATGGACAGCTTGAAGCCAACAAAGCAGAGGTCCAGTTTTGGACTCCACACCACTAACGGTTTGCAAAGAGAGAAAACTAGAGAAAGAAGTTTCATAACACAGAGGGTCAAAGAAATCTAGTTTTATGGGCAATGATATTCTGCATTATGATGTTAAGGCTGTTTCACAAAGTTTTCCTTCGATTCTTTCTTTGTTACCTTCGCTGTGGTTTTTGTCAAACAAATTGAATGAATTGCAAGACAAGGCCAGGAGATGATGAATTGTAGGGAGGCGTGAAGATTTATTTTAAATGAAATGGTGTTGTTAGAGTTTGGTATTTTAATTTTTATTAGAAGTCGGGATTTTTTTTTTTTTTATTGTACATGGAAAATCATTGGAAAAAGAGGATATTTTTCAAGCACTTTGTGAGAGTTAAATTCCAAAGCAACTAAATTCAAATAATAAAATTTAAAGATAAATTATTAAATTTAAAGAATCAATTTTATTAATAGTTAAAATTGATATACATTCTTTTCATAATAATTTTAATATTCAAACTAAAAATTATACTTCACTTTATCAAGTTCTCGGTAGAAAAACCATTGTGAGGGCATTGTGACTATGTTGACTGCTCACCATTATCTTGGACTTTTTAATGGAAAAATTATGCTCTAGTGTCGACATATTGTCTCCTAGTTTTATATCATTCGATTAGATGTCATCATATGTTTCTTGTCCGGCAAAAGGTGCAGATCACCCCCTCAACTCAACAACTGGTGGCAAATCACCCCCTCAACTCACTTCACTCGCAAATCACCCCCTCAACTCATTTGTAGTGGAAAATCACCCCTTCTATTAAGGCTTCCGTTAACATTTAACAGTATGCTCATAAGCCCTTCCTCTGTGTCTGACGTATTTGTTGAGATGGATGCTGAGGTGGAGGCACACCTGGACAAAGACCCCAAAAATCAGCAGATCAAACAAAATTACTTTTATACCCTTAATGGTTTAGGGAAATAAAATTGGGGATTTAGGGATTTAGGGATTTAGCGATATGGGGTTATATTATTTCACTTGACAGCTTCTATCATCTTCGTCTTCTTCCCCTCTTCGTCCTTTCAAGATCTGCAATTCATCGAGCATGGGGTTCTTTGTCAAGCTTTTGAGGATACTTAGGGTTTTATTTCGTTTGCCAGCTTCTATAATCTTCTTCCCCTCTTCGTTTTTTCAAAAATGGAATCTTTTTCAGTAGGATTTGCAATTCATCGAGCATGGGTTCTTTGTAAAACTCTGAATCTTTTGTGAAATTACGATATTTTGATGATATTTAGGGTTTTATTTCATTTTCCAGCTTTGATCATCTTCTTCCCCTCTTCGTGGTTTCAAAAATTGAACTCTTTATCAACAAGATCTGCAATTCATCGAGCGAGCATGGTTTTTTCGTCAAGCTCTGAATCGCCAGTGAAATTACCATATTTTGAGAATAGATGCAATATTGAGTTTGGTTTAGGGATGCCATTAGAAATAATTGATTTTTATGACTGGAACTCCGGCTTCAACGGTGGCGTTAATTAATTTTGCATGTCAAACTAAAAATTAGTATTGTTGTTTTTGTTGTTGCTGGTGATACTATTGCTAAGGCTGTTATTAGGGGTACTTCTCTTATTAGTGCTTCCTGCTGTGGTGATAGTGGCGGCGGTTGCAGCGACCGTGGAATTGAGTGGCCGGTGAGTTTGAGGGTCAATTCCACGGCTGTAGAGCTTTCTCTTGATGTGAGTGTTCCAGTAGTTTGTAATCTCATTATCAGTTCTTCTTGGTAAACGTATAGCAATCAAAGACCACCTGAGAAAATAAAAACAAAAACCATTAAGGCATATATATATATATATCATTTTGTTGAAAGCAAACAAGAAAACAGGAAATATTTCCTTTTCTTAAAAAAAAAAAAATAAAACCCTGAAAAATAATTGATTTCTAGATTTATTATTAGTTAATTAAGAACAAGAGAATTTCAGAGGAGCCACGTCAAACATAGAGAAAGGGCTCATGAGCGGACCGTTAAATGTTAACGGAAGCCTTAACAAAGGGGGTGATTTGCCACTACAGGTGAGTTGAGGGGGTGATTTGTGCGTGAAGTGAGTTAAGGGGGTGATTTGCCACCAGTTGTTGAGTTGAGGGGGTGATATGCACCTTTTGCCTTTCTTGTCCTCTCTCCTTTTGCTTTTTCCAAGGATAAATATGAATGTATATTCTTTTTTTTATTTTTTTGGTAAAAGTTTATTCTTTTTTCAAAGATAGATAATTTTTCTTAACTCTCTAGTCATTCTCGTAAAGGCAATAAAAATATCTTACAGTCAATGTTACATATATAATTTTTTTGTTTTTTTCTTTTTACTAACTTTCTGGTATCTAAAAATTATATTGGATCTTAACTAATTCGAAATTGAGTCGGGTCAGACCCTATATGGGGGAAAACTCTTCCACCACCTATTTTTCCATTCACAAAATTTGAATTTGAGATTTTATTTAGAAGGAATTGAAATCCTTCCATTCAGACTAATAGTTTTTGATAATGTTACATTCAGACCAATAGTTTGTTGGTAATGTTACATGTATAATGATTTTAAGTTATATTTTTTTATTCATAATCAAGATGTCCTTGACTTAGTTTCTGGCACTTCGAGATTAACACATTGAGTGATTTTAAAGTAACATGCCCCTATATTTGCTTAACACATTTAAAAATAATTAATTTTTTAAAAAATCTGACTTGCAACTTACTTACTAGTAAGGAATCTAATCAATGAAGTTGGAGAGACTCTAAATATAATGTTTTGTATAATATGAAGTGACATAAATAAGTGAACACATTCAAAGTAAAGGGTAATCCTAAATAAATATAATTAATTATAAAATAACCCTTTGTATTATACTTTTTTTTTTGTTTAGTAGATGGGTATTTTTAATTCAGTTTGCACACACTTCAAGACTAATCCCTTTTTGGTCAATCAAGAACAAACCATCCATGTTATAATTAAAATGTTCTTGAAAAATTACTTTTCATCGAGTTCAATAAGAAATCAAAACTTAGTCAATAAGGTAGAAAGTGAACTTTGTTATTAATTAAACCACAAGTTTTAAGTATGTTATATTTAAATTTTATGTATGTTTACCAAAGTAATACTTTATCTGATCGAATTTAGTTATTCTACTTTATCTATGTATGATTATTAAGAAATTTATTTATTACAATAATTAAAATTTATTTTTTTATTTTCACTCTCAGTTAAAATTAAATTAAAAAA